ATGCAACTATTAGCTGAATGTACTATCAATAAAATTCTGGGTCACAAGTACTCACCTTAATATTTAAAAAAAAAAAAAATAACTAAGAATGAATTAGATTCAGATTATCTTATAAAACCTTTTCAAAAATCTTGCCCTCAGCAACAAAACCAATCTGTGAAAATGGATAGAATAGAATCAAAAGTAGATGAAATTGGTCAAATGACATCTCAATTCGGGAGAATAATGCTCGATAATCAATCAAAAAAACCTGTAGCTAAATCAAATTTTACATGTTACTATCTCCAACTTCCATCTATACAGTCCCAATACACATTTTCAGCTTCAGATAATAAGAAAGATAATAATGGTGGTTATGATGAAGAAAATAATAAATGGACCAAATATTATCTACTAAAAAAAAAAAACAGATACTAGCAGAATACAGCCAGCCTAAAACGTATGATGAGCTGTTGCCAAAACTTTTAATAGCAATGTGTAAAATGTGTCAGTCTCATATAGTTTAGGAGAAAGAATCAAAATTAGATAAGTGGTTTTTGTCATTGCAATACTTGCATTGTAATATAAATGATCTATTGATCACTAATTCTTTTTTAGATAGTACTAGTAAATTTAGGAGAGTGAATGATACAACAATTAACATCCTAGGGTAGAAAGCTGATAAACCTTCTGACTTTGCTATAAAGAGTAATTCCAAACATATATCTGAATTATTGGGATGGTATACAAATGTGCCAATTAGTGTAAAGAACAAGAATGGTAAGGTTGTTACAGCTACTGGAAATTTTGCTCATATTAATAATAGTGAACCTGAACCAATGTTATGTTTAGATATGATATGAATTTGAAAAGTTCAAGGTATTCTTGATCTGAATAAAAATCAATTTTGAATGAAGTTACATGGGAAAACTTACACTATCCCAACATTTAGCAAGGCCCTAGTAGCTAAGGATCCACCAAAAGAGAAGCAGATTTTAGAGGGTCTGTATGATTCAATCCAAGTATCTACTAATTCCTCCAGCCTGACTAGTGAAGATGATTTAAAAAAAAGTGCAAAGAGCTTGAAAAGTGTTTCTTAAAAACTAAAAGATGGCTTGACTTAGCATTAAATGCAAATAAAATTTTAGTTGAAAGATACTCTAAGCTTATGAAGAAAAGATCAGATATATAACAATATTTTTAGTAATATTTAATAATTTATTAAGATCAGATTCCTATCTTGATGTATCATCTTTTGAAGAATTGATTATTCTATTTTTTTCTACTAGAGAAGATTTGTCTTTTGCCTTTGTACTAGCCTTTTTTTTTTGACTAACCTTATCTTTTTGTTTACTAGTTACTGTATTTAGCCTTATATAGAAATTTGCACTATCTTCATCATCTCTAGGGTGCTCTGTATAAATGACCCCATCTTTTTGTATACTAGTAGAGGAGGTATTATGCTCAGCACTTACCAGCTGTAAAGACTCTTGGTTATTTTCTGAAATTCAATCAGAGATGCTAACAGATTCTAAGATTCTACACCACTTCTTAGTTGGTTCAGAAGGCCTCTGATTATCAATAATTTTTTGATATGTTATTGCTTCTATATGATGTTTTTTATACATAATATGTTGAGTATCTGGAATATTATTCTGAGCATTTCTGATTTCTTCAATGGCTTTGGGTGACAAGTAGATGGCATCTGATTTAAGAAATTTATGAGTACAAGTTGATAATTTTTTACTCATATTTGTTAATAATAAATTTGTATTATACTAATAAAAAACTTGTAAAAAATTTATTCACAATCTATTTGGTCTTGATATGATATTAGTCTGATATTAGTTTGATATATAGGAAATTCACTTTTCTTATTATATAGCTTGCTATAACCATAATCCAAATAAAGAATATGTTTGAGATATATATAGTTTAAATATTAAACTGGTTTATTATTGGTTTATTATTAGTTTAATTCTAATTCTTTTTACCAAAAAATTTCCAAGAAAAAAAAAATATCTACCTTTATATAAAATTATATGACAAATGTGTATATGCTGAATGAAATAAATGGTGAGGTAGCTCTGTCTGACAATAAACTTGGAGATTTGCCATCTAATCAATATCTGCCCAGCCGAATAGAGCTTAAAAACCAACTTACCTGTACAAAGCATAACTTAGATATTGCTTTGAGCTTGGGTATTCAGCTTGGTATTAGATGCAATCTCTTGATAAAAAATATGAGAGCTTTTCAAAGCATGTATGTTAGTTTGAAGATGAAGTGAGAGAACTCAGAAATCAGATCACTCACAAAAATATTTTCTTTGATAATATCAAAGATGAGATTATTAGAAAATTGGAAGAGATATGGGCTCTTTAATCAAGAGTAGAAGAATTAGAGCAAGATGTTTCTTTAGCACAGAAGAAGTTAACAGAAATGGATTCTTTCAAATGTAAATTAGAACTGGAAAACACAGAACTATCTACTAAAAATATTTATTTAGATCTAGAGAAAAAAGATTTAGAAAATACATTAGCTGAAAAAAAAATGAATTAGCATAAATAAAAGAAAATTTAGTCACAACTCAAAGAGTATTGATAGAGAAAGACACCCTTCTTCAAGAAGCAGTCCTAAATAAAGCTTATTTGGCTGATCAGATCCCAAAAACATCTAGCGAATCTGAAGTGGCTGGAGGGGTCTTAGAGGGACCAGATGTTAGTGAACAGAAGAAAGGTAATGATAATGCTAGCTCTGAAACCACCTGGGGTTTCTATAGAGACTACTTTTTAGTAGCACCTATCAGTAATAAGAAATTTGATACTTACTTTTTTCAGTTTGTGATCTTTCTTATAATACTATTACTAATCATATACTTTCTGTGATCTATATTCACTCATCTATATTCTTTTATATCTCCCCTTAATGAAGAAAAATTTTTTCAAAAATATATAACTCCCTTTAATAAAAATCAGAGATATGAAATTCCAACCCACTATGTAGAAGAATTCAAAGACAGAAATACCTTCTATGAAACTTCATCTTTTGGATATAGATGAAGTCACAAAACATGAATTATTCCGAAATATTGGCTATCTGGCAATGACATGGCCTTTTAGCATGTTAATTACTGAAAGAAGTAGTATAGATAAGACTAATTTACTTGTGAATCTTGTTCTTGGTGATAAGGATAAATATGTGCAAAGAGGGAAAAAAGGTGGGTCTCACTACATTAAATATGATAATCGAATTGTTTGTGGGTATCATCCTGATGAGCCAAAATAGAAATATGTGAGTACATATATAATATGATTTCAAAAGACTCAAAAGTGCCTTACTATGAGGATATTAGTTTTAGTTACATTCCTTCTAAAAGAATTCTTAATACAAGAACTTTTTCATCAAAAAGAAGCAAATTAATTATTATTGAGGATCTATGTTTAGATTCAGAGTATATACAAAATCGAATTGATCAGTTTTTTGGGAATGGATGTCACCGAAATATTTCATGTATATATGTAATACAAAAATATCATAAAGTTGATACATTTATTCACAAAAACTCAACTCATTTAGTATTATTTAACTCTGGTAGCAGTATTCAAGATGTGTCTAAGATTGTTAGATGATATACTGATGATGTAAAGGGTGCATTCATGATTATTAATAGCTACCTCCATAAAGGTAAGTTTGTTGTATTTGATCTCAGTAGGCTAGAGAATGATCCTCTTGCCATTCAACTAAGGTTTGACATACTATTGAATCTACAAAAAGAAATAGATGCAAAGCAAAAGCACAAAGAAAAAAATGCCTCAGCTAATTCATAAAACTTTTTACTATGCTCTCATAAGCTCAAAGATGCTGAAATTGATTACCTTTGACACATTTATAACTGATAGTAGTTTGCATATGACATGTACTCCGAAAAGGCATCCAAGTAGATAGACTTAATTAAATATATTTATTCATTATATACTGTAGTCCATTCATCATTTTCCTAATGCTATTCTTGAGATCACAATTAGGAAATAAAATTTATACATTAATATTTACTTGCAATATATGCAAGAAAGTGTCAATGTGAAATAAAAATCTATGAAGTGTATATTTATATTTTTTTTCATTTTTGGCTATGTACAAATTTGAATCGAGATATTCCTTAATATAGGTTAATAAAGTATCATTAAAAATGCTATAAATTGCTAAAAAATACTATAAATCACTAGAGTCAGCTATAAACTATAAAGAGTAAAAAATGGTTAAAACCAATCATAACTAGTATTCTAGTTTAAATTTTGAAATAGTGCAGGCATTAAACAATTTGCAATATAGTTATAGTGATGAAACATCAGAAATGTGGTGTTCTCATATTCATTGTTTATTTAAAAAACTTCTCGAACATAATTCAAAATACTTCTCCAAGAATAGATTTATTCAAATGATTGAAAGAGTATATGAAGAGCATTCAGTTTATATTTATTGCACTGTATGCAACTTCTTAGTAATTATTTGCAAAAATACAATCGAATGTGCAAATGATCACCTAAAGAAATGTATTACTGAAACTACAAATATGCATTCTAATTCTGTACAAAAGAATATAAAAAAAGAGGGAGGAGTATTATCACTTAGCATTAATATAGTTGATAAGATATATGAAAGATATTATTTTATATATAGTAAAGACTTGAGCTATTATAATTATAAACATTCAAATAAAAATGAAGTTAAAAAAATGATTGTACTTTACATAATTAATAGTATAACAGTTCTTCAACAGGCTTGGAGAACTTATAAGTTGAAACCTGAGACATGGGCAAGTTGAGTTTGAAATATGGTAAAAAATAATAATACTTCTGACAAAAAGAAGAAGTTTAGGTATAACTTCTCATCATATAAGAATTCTTGATAATTGATATGTAGATTATTTTGGCCAAAAAATTCAAGCTAAAGATGTACTCACACATTATCAGAATTCTTCTATTTTATTCGATTATTATCTTCCTAACATCTGAGCAGAAAAAAAAAGAAAGCAGTTATGTAATAGATTAGGTCTTGTATCATATATAGTTGCTTTTATAGTATTACATCGGCAGGGCTATAGAATCATCCAATATTCAGGATAGTCTTATATGTTAAAGTGGCTATCAAATCTTGAATATTACTATATTAAAGAACATTACAACAATGACAGAGTAATCTTCATTAAAAGTTCAGAATATGTGTAAATTGACTATTTCAATTCTAAAAACTTCTATTTTTAAGAAAAAGATGTTAATATAGATTTCTCAAATTTTAATAATAATTGTGAGTATGTGTGCCAAGTTTTTTAGACTATAAATTCTTTATTAAAATAGCAGAGGCAGGTTTCGCTTTGGGTCTTATGCTAGAGAATATATATTCAAAAAATTATTAGATTGATATACAAAATTTTTTTTATTATAAATAGTAATAAAATTTTCTAAGTGGATACATTCAAATCACTTTTTGTAGTGTAGTTCAGGGGTTTAAAACCTATGAAGTCTGTCACCTTCTTCCTCACACATGCCTTACATCAAGAATAACGATCATGTCCAAGAAAAAAATGTAACTCGAAATAGAGAGGGAATACTCAGATCCTAGGCCTGTCTTGAAAGGCGAAAAGTACCTCTAAGAAGACTATACTACAAAAAAACTAAATATAATAAAAGTCAATTAACATACCCTTAGGGAAAGTAGTGTGTATAAAAAAAATAAATATAGTCAGAGGCTCTATCATTTAACAGTAGAAATGAAATTTGTTGCATAACTACTAAAGAAGTAATAAGAACAAAGAGTAAGGTAAATATATTCATATCATTTACATAGTGTAGCCTGGTGGTTTAAAACCTGGGAAGTCTGTTGGACCTTTCTTTCCTTGCATATGCCCTATGTGGAAGAATAATGATCATGCCCTCAATAGCAAAATGAAAAGCAAGAATATAAAATTTAGGAAAATAACAGTCAAATCCTGGGCCTGCCATAGAAGATGATAACTGCACCTAAAAAGACTATAATATTAAAGATAGAATATGTATTATCAGAAAAATATAATAGTATTAAAAATTAGAAATTAGATCTATTTTATATGTATGTGGCTATAATAAATAACAGGTTATCTAATAATTATTTGCATTTGGCACTATGTCAATTTGACATGAAATTGCTCTAAAATAATCCAGATCTTTGAATTTAAAATACCTATACTGATACATTATTATTATTCTGTTTTGGGACTATTTCTCTATTTTTTGGTTGGTTTGTATTAATAATACAGTAATAATTCATAAATAAATTGGGGCTGAGAGATATAAATATATACGCATTATTGCTAAATTTCTTTCAGATCTAAAAATGAATTACATTGTATTTATATGTTATATGTTATAAGTTAATACTCCTACAGCCCTATGAGATATTTGGGTTTATATAAATCATAACACTTCAATGATGGCTTACTTACGAATGACTTTAAAGAAGCAAAATATGTGTAAATCGGTATATATGAATTATTTTAAAGTTTGTAATACAAATCATAAAATCAGCATGTAGTTTGTATCACTTCTCTGCATAAATTAATTTTCATAGTCAATTTCAAATATTATGAATAAAGTGAATAATGTCTAGATCTTTTTACTTACTTTATATGATCCTGTGATAAAAACAAACTATTAATAAGACTTAAAAAGGCAATAAGAGGAAAGAGTATAAATGTTATTTATCAGTAGTTTTATTCAAATTCATATGTCACAGGAACTTGAAATTCTCAGATCATCGAGATCGTTAACTTTATCACTTCATAGAAGAGATCGTTAAATCTAAGAGAAGTTAATTTATCAGAAAAATAACAAAATAGATCAGTATTTAGAACTTATGACTGAGTGGAGTTGCTTTATATAGAAAAAAGCTAGCATTAAATTTGGATAACGTAATAACTAATTATGTATTTTTCTTTCTGGTAGATTCTCAGACTGAACGAATATGAAGTATAAAATAAGCAAGCTCTTGCCCATAAAATAAGTTAGCAATAATATAATTTTTTGCTCATATATATTTTTACTTGATTTACTTGCCCATAATTTATTTTTAAAGTAATGTACCATTTAACAGAGACTAAGAAAAATAAATTTTTACTTACTATATTTTTTTTTATTAGGAACAAAAAATGAGTACTAATGATAATACCACTTTCAAGAAAAAAAAAATAAGATCTCCAACTATTCTAAATCAAAATAGCAATACAAGCCAAGATAATTTTTATCTTATAAGTAAACTTCATTGTATTCATGTCGAAATATAATTATCTAAATTAAGTTTTTTACTAAAAATTAGATGATGAAACCTGGAAAAGAATGTCAGAAAAAAACCTAGATCATGATGAGAAAAATAATGATAATTCATGGCTAAATTCTAGTCAGCATCAGAATATGTTAGATCATCTCACTAACATAACCCATTAAGAATGCCCTTTGAGGTATTTATTTTTTTATTTGTATTTTTTATCTGTATATTGTTGTTCTAGCAACTATTATTATGAAATAAAGAAGAGGGTCACATGCTCTTACTAAATTTTATTTTTATATGATTGTATAAATTGGCAGAAATATTAGTTAGTATTAATTCTCATCCGCGACCCTCTAGCTTGTTGATCATTGAACCTACTATTATTATTTTTAATTTCTTTGACTTTTCAAATTTTTTTAGCAAAGAGATACCAGTATCTTATTTCTTCTTAGTAGACATGAGTTATATATTTTTCTGCTCAGCTTGCATTATAGTAAGTTTTTTATACTATAACAAGTTTGAGACTGCCCTATTAGATCCTAAGACTAGATACAAGACATTGAAAACTGATCATTATAATAACATAACTATTTAAAATACCATAATCTTTAGATTGCTGTTTTATGGTATGAGTTAATTGATTGACTTTAGTTAGGGTATTAATTCTAAAAAAACAAAAAATAACACTTTGAGATTATGTCCTGTTTTATAAATAAATTATGCATAACAAAGATAATACAGATAAATTTTATATACGGAATTTATTCTAACATGTTAATGGGTATCTATTTGGCTATTGTACTAAATTTAGTACAGCACAAAAAAATGATTATGACATAACTACAAGTTTAATTTTAGTCAAAATTTACAAAAATATAGATTACGTATAGTTTTATATATATGTAAAATTTCAATACTAATTACAAATAAAAGTTTTATAAAAACTGATTTTAAACTATCACTTTCGTTCAAAAATTTTGCTGTACTAAATTTAGTACAGTAAAAAAAAAATAACATCTTCAAAACTGATATAATAAAATAATATAAAAATATATATATATAAATTGCCTAAGATCGACCCTTCATTTTGATATATTTAAGTTGTAAAATGACAATTACTAAAGCAACAAATACACACTCCCTTTAAATCATTACAAACACAGTAATACCTTGTTCTTGTACTACAATACATGCAATGAAGCTATGAATAAATTGTAATGTTTCGAGTTTTTTTTCTTTTAGCAAGAGGAGATAATTTATGCAGTGGCTTAGCTTGTGTTCTTGAACATTTTTTGAATAAATTTGGTGATGAATTTCTTAAATTAAGATATTCTTCATTAAGAATTTCAAGGGCCAATTGTTGTCTAAAATCAAAATGTGAAACGTTATATGCTTCTTCATGCCATTTTTTAAATGATAAAAATGCATTAGCTTTAGTGATTTCAAGTAAGAAAGCAAGCACACGCATCTCCCAGTTTGATTCACACATTATATCATGAAAAGAAGTCATATTATCACGAATCTATCAATTAATATAAAGTTATAATATTTTAAGTGATATTCAATAGTTATCTTATAATCTATTATTAATATCAGCTTATAAAAGCAAAGATAATATTATGTATTATTAAGCAAAAGCTATAATAATACACAATATCAAAACTGATATTAATGACAGATTTCTGATGTAACTAATTAATTTATAAATTTGGATAGCTTATAGTATTTGATTTTTATTCAGATTAAATATTAAAGTTATTGTGTATTTTATCTCTTAGATTGTAGACCAACACAAGCAAATTTGCTTGCGTTTTTGCATTTTTTTAGCTCTGATCTACTTTTTTAAATTGTTAAAATATATAAATAAAATTT